TGCTAGAAGAAAGATCTTTTACTTAAGCAAGGAGAGGCTTGAAGTAAGAATAGATTTAGAGAGTGATACGCGCACTCTGCATGGAGAAGAAACACTTCTATTTATACCAGTGCATTAAAATGTTCATTTAACGCAATAAGGTAGTGTTTAGAGTGTGTGTCAAGCCTTAAATGGAAGGCTTGTCCTTTGCAACCGTAAATAGTACAAAAATCACTATTCCTAAGCAGACATCCTTACCTAAAGTTGGTGGACAAAGAGTCGACTAATCGGCTCCGTACCGTACTAACTTTAGTAAGGGTATGGGTTTGTCCTTTGTGTGCATAAGGACAAGACAACAACTGTCGTGCTAAACAAGCTTCTTTTGATCGCTGAATGCTGGAATGACCTGAAGGTCTCATCATCATTCACTGAAGCTAGAGCAGTCTTCACACATATGTAGAWAGGTTCGTAATCACTGAATACCGCTTCAGATCATGTACTCGCCAGTTTCTAATCTTTAGTTTCAGTCTTCGACGTTTGCTGAAGGTTCTTTGGTGTGAGTGTTGTCTTCTTGAAGTATTGTTTTCTCTGAGATTTACAAAGCAAGTTCCTCAGCGATCACTGAACATACTCAGTGTATGATCGCTGGAACTGAAAATACAGAAACAAAATTACATCGATATATTAAAAAGAATTATCATCAAATCACTGAGAGAGAGGATCAACACTTGGTCTCGGCCCTCACTCCAAGACGCGGGTGACTTTCCAAGAAACTTAGGTCGTGCTAGAAGTATCCATCCCTCCTCAGCGTATTGAATTCGTTATACAAGGATCTTTGTAAAAAGCTTGCTTCACATTTAATTTTTTCATAAAGTGAACAAAAATATGTAAAATAATATCTTAAATGCAAAAAATTATTTTTTATATCAATTCTTACAAATTTATAAAATTTTTGTAGTTCTCATTTGATTATCATCCCCCCTAAAATTAAAACACACACACACACACATATATATATATATATATAAACTTTTTAATATATGAATCTAGAAAAGCTATTACAATCATTCATATATATAAATCAATTTATTTTACTTTTAATTTTGCATTATATCAATCTTTTCCTTTCTCTCTCAATAATTTAAAATTTAGTGACGATAAATAATATTAATTGAAATATTTATTAATTTACATTGACTTCAAACTTACAAATGCAACCTCTCTCTCGATGTAATATATATATATATATATATATATATATCAATATAATAATTAGAATATTAATGATAGTAAATAGTATTTATTGATTAGTATTTAAAAAACATTTATTTATTGATTTGTACTTTGAAATTTGTATTAATGCATGTTTAAGTTCAAAAATATATCCACAATTTTATAAATGTGTAATCATTACACTCTTTAATTAATTAAAGCGCAAATTGCATGAAAAATTAATGTATTTTAACTTGATTTCTATTTGGTAAGGTACTTTCAAAACTTCCATTTTGGTATCTAAGATGTAAAGTTTTAAACATTTAAGTACCCGGGTAACCAGTTGAAGCATTAAACAGTTACCATGCTGATGTGGTATCAACTCAATATTATTTGTTGAAGCATTAACCAGATACCACATCACTCGGCACATCAACATGATAACTGATTAATGTTTTAACCGGTTATCCAAGTACTTGAATGTTCAAAACTTTACATCTTATGTACCAAAATAAAAGTTTTTAAAATATGTTATCCAAAATAGAAACCAAGTTAAAGTATATTACTTTTTTCATGCAATTTGTCATTAACTAAATGACAATTTTATCATTCATAATTGAGAGATTAATAAATTTTCTATCTCATAATTAAAACTAGAGTTGAAAAGTAGACAATACTTTTTGAAAGTGAACAGTTACTTTGGAACAAACTAAAATAGAAATATGGACACTTATTTTGAGACGAACGGAGTATTTATTTTTGTTATTTATAAACATCATTCGTCTTTGAACAATGAATTATTATTTATAGTAATTTATATGTATTAATAATCAGTTAATATCTTATCATATTATTTATAGACTAAGTTTCTATTTACCATATTTTTTGTACATATAATTAGTTACCGTGTGATTTAAACGTACACTTATTATTTTTTTTTAATAAAAATCCAAGACGCGTCATCCTCTTTTTAAAAAGAAATAAACTACATCATCAATCAGACAAACAATGCATATGTTATCCACACCCCTGTTATTGTTATTACTCATTTTATTTAATTTTACAACTTTATATATATATATATATATAAATATATATATATATATAAGAAGCGTACTTGCGCAATGCAACGAGATACATCGTGATTTTAATATTTCATTTTATTCTTTATCTCGGTCGATGTTATAATATGACTTTATGTGATTTTTAGAAAGCGATGATGTTTTTATTTTTGAATAAAATATATGTTTGAAGATATCATAAAAAATTTGACAAAAATATATCGATATTAGTATCAAATTAACTATTTGAAATTCCTTATTTCTTTGTGTAATTTTTTAAATCAATTTTTTTATAATTTAATTTATGTACAATAACCAAGTAATTTATATTTGATTTAATAATATAATTTTTTTTATAAAGATAATAATTATTTATTTTGTTGGAACT